GCTTGGATGGGAACTGAGTTTGCAGCGTGATCTGAAGGGAGGTCACACCCTTTGGAGCTGACAGACAGGTACAAAGTAACCCCCCACCACACGAGGGAGGTGCTTCTGCCACTTATCAAGTCAGATGGGCTTTGGCCCCTCTTTCTGAGTAAGAATATATTTTTTAAATAGAAAGCACCAAGAGGGACGCCTCTGTGCTGCTCTGTGAGGGTGAGGCGAGTTAGTACTGAGAGTGCTCCACCTCACTGCGAGTGCTGTGCAGGCGGGGGACCAGTGCTCTCAGTAAGGAGCGACATCGCCCCCCAGACCCTGCTCAGCTTCTCCGAGTGGAGGTCTGACTGCAGATGGAGACAGTGCTTCCTTTCTCCTGAACGTCTTCTCAGGTGGGAACTCCCCAAGCAGACTCTTGGGGACTGATGGGCTGCAGGAGCCAGCAGGGTGATGCTTTCCCTTTGGCTGGAAGCCCAGTGACTTCTGTGTGTGTGAGTAAGGCTCTGAGCCCCTCTCAGCTCAAGATTTGGGGTAGGGGTTCTTGCTTCACAAGGAGCCCACAGGTCTTAGGGGCCACGCCATGGAGGGCGTAGGGCACAGCACCAGCCTCACTCACTTTCATTCTCGGTGCCAACACAAGGAGCTCTGTGGTGGATGGAGGCAAGTGTGCTCAATCTGGGGCCCTCGGCAGAGCCCGAGAACCTTGCCTTTGGTCTTGCTTCACGGTCCCTCTGCTATTCGCTTCTCTGTCCTTCCCTACTGAGCTGGTGGTTTTATGCTGCCCTGCTCTCCAGAACTCTCCAGGGCCAGTACCACCCCCTGCCTAGTGGAATGCCGCACAACAGGACTTTCTATGATGACGGAAATGTTCTCTCTCTGCTCTGTCCAACCGGTAGCCATTGACACATGTGACTGGCGAACACTCGAAACGTGGTCCCTGTGACTCAGAAAGTCAATTTTTAATATTATTTAATTCCAATGAATTTATATTAAAATGGCCACACATGGCTAGTGTACTGGGTGGGTAGCACATGTCTGAGCTCAATACTGCAATCGTTTCAGTCTCTCCACTGCAATCAGAACGAACCTGTCCTGTGTCCCAATTTCAAAGCCCTCTTCTTAGAGATGTACCCACATACTAATCTGATAAGCAAATTCCTATCCATAAACTAATGTCTTATCTCTCTGCGATAAGCTCATAGACTTTGAAAAACGCTGTGCTTACTCAAAGCAGAGCCTCAGATGATAGGAATTTGAAGGACTCTGGCAGGCTAGCGAAGTGGGTGAAAAGATTATGGGCCCAGAGTTTTAGACTCACTTCAAAGCATTGCCTATGGATGGGAACATCCTGCCCAGAGCCTGGGGCTGCTTCTAGGTTTTTCCCAGCCTCCTGCAGGATGGGGAGGGTTGAGGTTAAGACATGCAGACCAGAGCCTGGGAAATGGAGGTGGGAGGGGGTTGGAGAGAGGAGGGCTGGAATGGGAAGAACCCAAAGGATGCCAAGCTCTTGCAAAAGAACCTGGCGTGCCAGTCCAAGTGGCGCTCCGATCCACCCTGGGGAGGAGGTGCCAGGGAGAGGCCGTCACCAGTGGGACAGCACTGGAGGGCTAACCGTTCGAAGAGCCCAGAAACCAGACTGCAGGCCACAGAAGGGACCGTGGTGCTTTGGACAGGTTCTCAGACGGAACTGTATTTCTCCTCTTAAGTCCAATCCCCTCTAATTTCAGGGAGCTTTTTCTTTCTCTGTTTTTCTTTTTAGGATTTTATTTATTTATTTTTAGAGAGAGGAAAGCAGAGGTAGAAAGAGAGGGAGAAAAACATTGATGTGTGAGAGAAACATTGACTAGTTGCCTCTTGCACACGCTCTGATTGGGACCAAACCTGCAACACAATTATGAGGTCTGACCGGGAATTGAACCTGCAACCTTTCACTTGCAGGACAGCGCCCAACCCCCTGAAGCACACTGGTCAGGGATAGAGACTTTTCTCTTCTTCTAAATTCTTTTGTGAGCATTGCTTTCTACTATACTGAGCTGTGTCTCTGTTTCTCGTGGACAACCACACAGCCGCTCTCAGCTTCTTGCCTGTGTTTTCACAGATCGCCACTAGCATCAGAAGCGGCCCTGTAGACCACATAGTAGGCTGGGCCAAGGTGGAGGAAAACGGGAGGTGGATGCAGGGAAAGGAGGTCAACTGAGGGCATAAGAGGCCCAGATGGAGATGAGCAGGAAGAGCAGATACCAACCCTAGAGCTTTGGGATTTACTCTTGGGGCCTCAGGTCACCTACTGGTACCGTGGGTTAATCTGCTACCGTCATCGCTCCCACTCTGCACTCTAGGGAATGCAAGAAGGGATTCCCAGGTAAGCCACTGCCTGGATCACATGCCTGCTTGTTTAAAAACCATCAAATTTCGTGAAGTGAATCGGAGAGTAAGTCTCAAATCTTTTGTGCATTCACGTCACCTACAAATAAGCACATAAAGAAAAAATAGCAGCCAGGTCCCTCTGGTGCTTTGTAACACAGTTGGCATCAAGGGGCAGGAGCCCAGAAAGGAGGTAGAAACTTTGATAAGTTGCCTGGATTGATTCATGGGTTGCAATGTTGCCCAATACTGCAGGCCAGGGCTATTATGCCATAGCATCCAGGTATGCCAGAGCTTTTTTATGATTTATGGCTTCTCTTCTTCAGGTGCTGGAAACATCTGCTCAGAACACTATCAATTTTAGTCCATTTGCATGAAAAAGTTCTCCCTGGGCTGTGGTTCTCCATGGCGGTGCTTTTTGTCCCCCACTCCCACTTCCCATCCTATACCCCACCCTGGGGGGACACATTTTGCAATGTCTGGAAACATTTGATTGCCACGACTAGGGGGGACATTTTATCCCCCCTGAAACCTTAGGCAATGCCTGAAGACATTGCTGGTGGTTACAAGTGGGGTTGTGTTAGTGTCCTTCTGGCATTTGGTGGGTAGAGAGATCAAAGATGCTGTTAAACATTCTACAATGCACAGCACAGTCCCTAGGATGAGGGATTATCTGGCCCAGAATGTCAACAGTGCTAAAGTTAGGAAACTGTGGCCCAGAGGGAAAGCTCAGGCTTGGTTCCTGACACTGAAGTGCCCCATGACCCTTAAAGAGCTGTCACTTTTTCAATGTCGGATGACTGGAGAATACCCTGGGGTGTGCTCAGGAAATCCTAGCATAATTTTGGCTAGAATCCTCTCTGATCAACGACCTCATCAGTTTCATATTTTCATGAGCCCCAAAGTTCCTCTGAAAGAGAGGGAGCGTGTCCCCAGGGTTCTATATGTCAAGCAGGTCTGGGGGCAGTTTAACTCCCATGTTACTGTGGTCTGTACAGAGGCAAGCCCTGAGGCTCGGTCTCTGCAAATGGGGTCATAACACAGCTCGACCTATTCGCCCGCTGGGCCTGGCATCCTGGGAAGGTGGAGCAGGGACACGGTGTTCGAACTGGTATGAGGGGCAGTGTGCGAGTTAAGTTCTTCTTCTTATCCAGCTCCAGCTCCATGATGACAGTAGGGCATTGGTGACGCAGACACTGGCCCGCAGTGTGCTCTGCGGCATGGATGAGACAGGAGACATTCACACGGACTACCGAGTCCTGTGTGGAGGAAAAGGGGCGGCCCGGCTACCCTCTCAAGGGCAGGGTACCCCGGAGCGGCCTCCCACTCTCTCAAAGGAGAGCGCCCCGATCCTTCCCTTCACAGGTTTTTATTGGCTTTTCATTTGCCCAGGAGTACAGGTAAAGTTCATTAATCATTGTCAGGCAGGAAGGATCAAACAATAGATAGTGTACAAAGAACTCAAAGGGCCTATTCTGAGTTAGGGTTTATTAGCTAGAGAGCTACAGAACTTTTTGGGAAACAAACTAATTTCCTGCTCGGACCTTTATCATTTAATTAAGAACATTCATAGCAAAGCAGGTTTCACAGGAGTTTATGTATTCTTTCTCAGGCCTGATCACCCGGGGAACCCACCCTTTCCAGCACAGGGCTGCACCGCCCTCTGTCATTGTTTCAAGGTTAAGTCAGGCAGAGGAAGTAAGGCAGCCAAGAGATTAGAAGACTTCTCACAGGCAAAATGAGAACTCAGGCTTTGTCAAAGCTGAGGGGTGAGGGTCCATCACCCCCTTTCTCCATAGCCCCCCAAGTCCTTCCCTGGGACCTCCACATGATCATGCCTGTCTTAGATCGTTCCCCCCTTGGGGGATCTTACCCATCATTGGCTAGCTGACCAAGCACTGGGGGCCAGTTATGGATGAAGTAAAGGAGCAGAAGCAGCGCTCCTGCCAGGGAGATAAGCTTTGTCTCTTTAGAGGCTTATGGTCCTAAGGTTGCTCACTCAGCCTTAGCCATGAGGGGGTTACAGCTCCTGAAACCAGGCAGGGCGGTTCCCAACATATGGGGGGAGGGGTGGGGAGAGGAAACCACCAGCGTGCGAGAGATGAGCCAACAGACTGTGACTCAGGCTCTGGGGCTCAGGGCCATAAAGCGATCTTCCTTGCGGATGGTTGATGAGGAAGACCCACAGCCTGTCATGAAGTCTGTCAGCAGGTGGGGCGGGGGAAGGGGCTGAAGGGGGCTCGGGAAGCTCTGGCGAGAATTAATGTAGAACTACTTGGGAAAATACAGGCCGACACAATATTCCTTCATCTGATTTTAAAAATAACACAGTCATTGTTGAAAGTCTCTCAAGTGCAGAAACACATAAAGAGGAAATAGCCATCTCCCCTGATTGCATCACTAGGTGATATCAGCTATGAATAGTTTGGTATTCTCTTTGAGAAAAACAGACCGGTTTTCTGAGCAGGGCCAGCTGGGGTGATTGAAAAGGCCTTTGAGAGGAGCTTAATGGGACCGTGTGGACGTTGACTGTTCGGAATGGTCCTCCTCCCTGGGAGCCGAGAGAGTGGGGTCCCTGCCCTCGGCCGGAGGAACATGACATCGGGACCACGTGACAGAGGGGCGGGTGATCAAGTTCCCCTTACCGGCAGGTTCATGTGCAAATCATCCTTCGTGTTCACCTCCATGAAGACGAGAGCTCTTTAGCTGAAAGAGAAGATGATTCATTTTAGCTCGCAGACGACAAAGGAGGAGACGTCATTTCTGACTCACCCGGCAGCACCAGCACGACCCAAGTCCCTGTACTTTAGGGACAGGCCGATGGCAGCTCGAGCGTTTTGGAATTACCTTCCTGGCAACTTCATTATGAAGCAATTTCAACTTATAAAAAAGTTGCAAAAAAAGGGTAAACTCCTCCCCATGTACCCTTAACCCAGATACCCCAATTGTCAATGATTTGCTACATTTGATTTACCATGCTTCTTCTTTGCTGTATGTACAAATTATTCCTTTTTAATGAATCTTTTGGGAATAATCCTTAAACAGTTCAGCATGTTTTCTTTAGAACAAGGACACTCTCTTACATAAACACAGTGTAATGGTTAAAATCAGAAAATTAACGTTGATTCAGTGCTATTATCTAGTCCACAGATCTCTCTCCAATGGCACTGTCATCCTAATTGGGATTAGAGTCTATGAAACTCGGCCCTGGAGACCTTGGCTAGAATTTATTGACAAATCTAGCCACCGTTATGGCTGAACTGGGAATTTGGCCAAGTTTGATTCTGTCTCCTGGGTTCATATGAGCATTGGCAGAAGACTTTTGGAAACGTGAATAACTTTGAGTGAGGATAGGACTGTTCACTAGGCTGCTGGGTAGGAGCCCATCAGGAACTGTCGTTCCTACCTTGCTCCTTCTAGTACATCTGGTTCTCGGTTTCGTACGAGGCATTTTAAACTCAGGGGGCTGACTGGCCCTGGTCTGGGAAGCATGAGGTGGCAAATGCTGCTAGTACAGACCTGAGTTAGAACAAAAATGATTTCAGGACTTGACTCCAAAATAAGCTTGTGTACGTCTGCGGTTACTTGTGGCTACATGTGACTAAGCGTTCTTTTTCTTTGCTTGTACAGGGACTGCAATTCCTGATTTAGTGGTGAATTTCATCTTGCACCTTGCAACGCAAAATTAAACAGTCTCACTAGAGTAGTAAACCGAATAGTGCTTTCGAATAATTTCTGCCTCCGAAATCCAGCATCCTAGAGATTGTATCGCTTGAAGAACTGAGCGCTGGCTATTCTCTAAGTTCAGCTGAGCGGACTGAACTGGCGGAGGAGGAAAGGACAGGCAGGGGGCTGGGGAGCACACCCAGTGGCTTCGTGCTGCCGAGATGTCCCTTTTACCCACCCACCCCCACTCTCCCAACAGTCCCACTACTGGCCTAATGAATGGAAAGCCCAGACATCTTTGCAATAAAAGCCTATGAGATGATGAGGACTATTTGAGCATAAGACAGCCAGCCCCAAGGCATTTGGTAATGAGGTGTCTGTCAAATGCAGAGCTTGTAACACAAATGTCTGGGGCAGCATTCTCAGAAGCCACCGCTTTTCCTCCCGTAGAATTCAGTGATGCTGAATATTTCATTTTAAAAACTCAGAACATCCTAGAATGTATCTTAGATTCTGGGAATGATTTCAGGGCTCAAAGCCCTCTCTTCAGTAGTGTCCTGATTTCGCTCAGTACAACGCCGGCTCTGCTCTGTGACTTCCTAAATAAAATCCAGACCCTTTTTACTCTCGTGGGATACCAGAGAGGGTCAGCAGAGGGTGGGGAAAAACGCAGAGGGAGGGGCGCACAGGACGAGGGCGGCAGTGGAGAGTCTGGGAGGCAGAGCAGTGGCCCAAGAGCCCTGGGCAGGAGGACGTGAAGGAGATCAGAGTCCTTTCGTTCCTTTCTGCAGTTCAGCAGGCACTTACGGAGCGACAGGCCTTGGGCTCGCTTCATTCATTCCTCTGTCATTCGGCATTTAAAAGATGCCCGACACACCACTTAGCTCTTGTCATTTTCTGCTCGAAATCGTGCACCTACTCTTGCTCCTTCTCTGTGCCTTCTGCGGCTCTCTTGGCCTCCAGCTCCCAGTGGGGTTCCAGCCACATTAGCCCAGGTGGGAGAAGAACACACCAGGGGCACTGTCGTCCTTGCTCCCTGCCTTCCCTGTGGCTCAGTTCCGACAGTGCCGGTGCCTCCAGCACCTCAGCTTCCGCTGGGCAGCCTCTCTTCCACGGCTCCGGCTGGCTGGCTGGCACCAGGTCCCAGCCAACGCCCATTTCCCTGTGAGAACAATTCCCTGCCCACAGGTATGTAAACGGCCTTTTTATTCTATTTTTTTAAGAATCCCAGCTGAATCTAGCATCTTATTCCTGCTGACCCTGATGATACAGCCCTTGACTGTATGCAGAATTGCTTCCTGATTGCTCTGGACTGGCTGGAGAGATGTGAATTTCTGTATATAGTTTCTGACACAGGACACCACCAAGGGGTGGGGGTTGGAAGGAGGAGGAATAATTTAACAGAAGCTCCTGGAAGAAAATCTCTGAGATTCACTCAAGCATGACGTATCAGTCAAGGACCAGCCTGATCACAGGCCTAGTGACAGCAGGAGCAACTCGAATGGGCCCCGTCGTGGATCTTACAGGACACCGAGTGGTGTTTCAGAGACAACAGAACAAAACTGCAAGTCATGTAGCCGAAGCATGTGCAAAGCAGACAATGTTGCCAATCACACCCAGAACCAGACTTTCTCCCCACTGTGGAGCCAGAGGACCGGGACAGGACCAGAGTCTGAGCGCTGGAGCCCTTTCAGAAGAGACGGGTCCATGCAGGAAGACCTGTGCTGAGGCCCCTAGCCCTGTCTTACTGAAAACGGTCAAATTCTAATAACCCTCCAGGGGAAACCTGCCCCACCAGTGCGTCTGCATACCAGCCTGTTTCTCCTAACCCCTTAAAATTCACCCCAAACCCTTGAGAAGAGAGACAGAAGTGAGTGAGTGTTGCCGCCTGTCTCTTCTCTGGTCAACTTTGCAATAAAGCGTTTCCTACGTCGGCCAGGGAGCCCTTGCTCTGTCCCTGCCACGGGAGGTGCGGGGTCCCGACAAGGGAGGTGAGAGTGCTCAGTGTTCTGCCTCCACCAGCTCCTCCCGAGGGCTCCAGGCTCAGTGCTGGGCTTCCTGCTTCCAGAGCGGACGTGCTGGAGGTCTCTGTGTGTTTTGAGGTCTGTCATAGAGGGCGGAGGTCAAAAAACTTTTCTTCAAGGTGCACAAAGAGTAAATATTTTCAAGGTGCACAAAGAGCAAATATTTTCAAGGTGCACGAAGAGTAAATATTTTCGACTTTGTGGTCCTTGAGTTCTGTGTTGTAACTGCCCAGCCACAAGCAATATACAAATGAATAGGTTTGGCTGCGTTCCAATAACCTTTATTTACAAAAATAAAGGGTGGGCTGGGTGTAGCCTGCAGGTCTCACTTTGTTGAACTCTGATACACCGGGGGAAAGTGGATTCATTCCGGCTGTGTTCAGAAGGCAGAAGCTGGATCCATGTGTCACAATTGTAGGGAGGTAGTAGACCTGTGCTCATTTTAAGGAGGATCTGTCTAATGGTGATTACTCTTCCCAAATAGATCGAGCTGTTTCATGAGGCAATAGGTTTCTTGTCCTCGTAGCACTTCAAAGAGAAACTGAGAGTGTTGTAGAATAATTTTCTGCAAAACATGGAGAGCACACCAGATGACGTGGAAGGTACCCATGCCGGATGCTCGTGTCTACCTAGCAGGTGCTGCAAACGTAGTAAGTCTTCTGGAGCTGGTGGTCCTGGAGGGAAGGGACTGAGTCGGATCTGTCCTTGTGTCCCGCCCACCCCTGAAAGCCGACCACAGGGTTTTCAGCGTGGTGGGTGTGGCCAACACACATTTTGTCCACTTGGATCTTTAAAATCTTGCTACAGATTAATTAAACTAATTCATCTTTAGTACAGTTATCACTACTAGTTGTATTAAATTGGTTCAGTTACCTCTAACAAGCTTCAATGTTTGAGGATGTTCACTGAAAATAATAGACATAATAGTCATCATTTATCAGATTCTGAACGTATGTCAGCTATTGTGCTAAGAACTTTACGTGCATTATCTTATCTAATTCTCCCCCAAAACCTATGAGGTAAGTACTATTATTACCCCCATTTTACTGATGAGGAAATTGAAATTCAGAGAAGTCTCGTAACTGGGCAAGAGCATAACCAAAATTCGAACTGGGATCTCAAACTGGGATCTCTTTATGCCAAATGCTGTGGTTCAATCACAACTCTACCCTGCTATTCATTCATTCATTCATTCATTCATTCACTCATTCATTCTTCAACAAATACTGACTGGCTGCCTGCTATTTGCCAAATACTGTTTTATGTGTTATGAATATGAATAGTTCAAGTACATGCTCTGAAGGAACTTGCATTGTTGATGGGATAGTGAGGGTGGATATACCATTAACATTGAGAAGGAATTAAGTGATAATTCATCATCAGAGGGCACCGAGATTAAAAAAGATAATAAATATTTCTTGTCCACACTAGAACTTCAGGTATAATCTTAATTGATGAATTTACCAAAGCTCTTTCTTGTTTACTGACATTAGCCCAAATGTAGGCTTTAGTCTTGACACATTGTCAGATATACTCAGAGGTTCAGAAGGAAGCTCCAAGCATTTTGACAACTGACACAGCTCGTGTGTGGTAGATTTGTGCGCAAAGCCCTCGAAGGGAGAATGAGCTGGTCCAGCACTCAGGAATCATTCTTCAAATTGGGAGACCAGAGGCCACAGAGGGGAAGGGATAGAAACAGCCAGGTCAGTGAAAACAAACATAAATAAGAAAAGAATAACTCTTCTTCCCTTTCCTGAAACAATGAAATAGGAAGAGACTAATTTTATCTCCCTGCCCCAAGTATCAAAAATTAATATTTATAATGAGTGCTACAATGTGGGAAATGTCTGACCCCATACGAGGCTGAGGCAAGCACACCAAATTGGGTCAAAGGTCAGAGGACATACAGCACCCGGAGTGGAGGGAACCGTTGGGAAATTCCAAAACCTCCACTGAGATTCAGATTGAGATTGACCGAGATAAAGCAGGAGCGCCAAGGGTCAAATAGTGTAAGCA